AGGGAGGCCTGGTGTGCTGCGGTTCATGGGGTAGCAAAGAGTTGGACATGACTGAGTGACTGAACTGAAATGAACTGATATGTAATAGTGAAAGAACAGAAGCAACCTAAATGTCTATTAATGTCAATATATAAGTATTCATTCCATTCATACAATGGAATCCTATGAAGCCAAACAAAAGAAAGAAGAAGCTCTTTACTCACTGACTGTTAAGAGAATGATCTTCAAAACCACTGGAGGAGAAGAGCACACAGACATCTTTGAAGAGACACACAAACAATTGATAGGCTGACCTTCTTGATGAGAGTGGACTGAAGTGTGAAGGACACTTTTTATTAACAGTAAGTACTTTTTAATGTCTTCTGCATGTTTGAAATCTGTAGAAGAGGACATAGGCAAACAGAAGACAGCAAGCACAACTTTTGGAAGGTTCTTTAAAAAAAAAGCAGCACTGGTTAAAATAAAAACTTGCTTGTTATTTGCAAAATCTGTAATAGACCATTCTAATAATATTTGTTTGGAGAATTAATGATGTCCTCTCCAACATTATTAACTCTGATAAGCACACTAAAGAAGGTAAGCTTTTAGATAAAATGTAATTAGTAGTCACATGTTGAATAACCATGACCATCCACAGAGCTGCACAACGCCATCTATTGGGATAAGATAAAATATTAAAAATTTCCATTTCTATTATTTTATCTTATCCTTATAATATATAAAGTAGTATGTGGCTAAGTTTTGTCTGACTCTTTGTGACCCCATGGAGTGCACCATGCCATGCTTCCCTGTCCTATACTACTTCCCAGACTTAGCCAAATCCATGTTCAATGAACTGGTGAGGCTATCTAATCATCTCATCCTCAGTCGTCCACTTCTTTTGCTTTCAATCTTTCCCAGGACCAGGGTCTTTCCCAATGAGTTGGTTCCTTTGCACTGAGTGGCCAAAGCATTCATGCATCAGCATCAGTCCTTACAGTGAATATTCAGGGTTGATATCCTTTAGGATTGACTGGTTTGATCTTCCTGCAGTCCAATGGACTCTCAAGAGCCTTCTCCAGCATCAGAATTCGAAAGCATCAGTTCTTTGGCACTCGGTCTTCTTTATTGTCCAACTCTCATTTCCATACTGACTACTGGAAAAATCACAGTTTTGACTGTATGGACCTTTGTCAGCAAAGTGATGTCTCTTCTTTTTAATAAACTGTCTATGTTTGTCATAGCTTTCCTTCCAAGGAGCAATCATCTTTTAATTTCATGGTTATAGTCACCATAATTTTGGAGCCCAAGAAAATACAGTCTGTCACGGCTTCCACTTTTTCCCCTTCCATTTACCATTAAGTGATAGAACCAGATGCTATGATCTTCATTTTTTCCATGTTGAGTTTTAAGCCAGCTTTTTCACTCTGCTCTTTCACCTTCATCAAAAGGCCCTCTAGTTCCTCTTTGCTTTCTGCCATTAGGATGGGGTTATCTGCATATTTCAGGTTGTTGATATTTCTCCTGGCAATCTTGATTCCAGTTAATGACTCATCCAGCCTGGCATTTTGTATGATGTACTCTGCATATAATTTAAAAAAGTAGGGTGACAATATACAGCCTTGGCGTACTCCTTTCCCAATTTGGAACCAGTTGGTTGTTCCATGTCTGGTTCTAACTGTTGCTTCTTGACCTGCATATAGATTTTTCAGGAGGCAGGTAAGGTAGTCTGGTATTCCCACCTCTTTGAGAATTTTCCACAGTTTGTTGTGATCCACATAGTCAAAGGCTTTAACATAGTCAATGAAGCAGAAGTAGATGTTTTACTGGAATTCCTATGTTTTCTCTATGATCCAACAAATTTGGCAATTTGCTCTCTGGTTCCATTGCCTTTTATAAATCCAGCTTGGACATAAGGATGTTTTCAGCTCATGAACTGCTGAAGCCTACCTTGAAGCATAGTGAACATAAGCTTACTAGCATGAAAACTGAGTGCAACTGCAAAGTAATTTGAGCATTCTTTGGCACTGCCCTTCTTTGGAATTAGAATGAAAACTAACCATTTCCAATCCTGTAGCCATTGCTGAGTTTTCCAAATATACTGACTTACTGTACACAGCACTTTAACGGCATCGTCTTCTAGGATTTTAAATAGCTCAGTTGAAATTTCGTCACCTCCACTAGCTTTGTTTATAGTAATGCTTCCCCATTTGACTTCACACTCCAGGATATCTGGCTCTAGGTAAGTGACCACACCACTGTGATTACCTGGGTCATTAAGACTTTTTTGTACAGCACTTCTGGGTATTCTTGGCACTTCTTAATCTCTTCTGATTCTGATAGGCCCTTGCCATTCTGTCCTTTATTGTGCCCATCCTTGCATGTAATGTACCCTTGACATCTCCAATTTTTTTGAAGGGATTTCTAGTCATTCCCATTCTATTGTTTTCCTCTATTTATTTGTGTTGTTCACTTAAGAAGGCTTTCTTATCTCTCCTTGCTGTTGTCTGAAACTCTCCATTCATTTTGGTGTATTTTCCCTTTCTTCCTTGCCTTTCACTTGGCTTCTTTTCTCAGAATTTATGTATACCTATTTATGATTTATAAATTATATATTAATATACTACTTTTAGTATATAAGGGCTTCTCTGGCTGGTGGCTCAGGTGTAAAGAATCTGCCTGCAATGCAAGAACCACAGGAACACAGCTTCAATCCCTGGGTTGGGAAGATCCCCTGGAGAAAGGCATGGCAACCCACTCCAGTATTTTTGCCTGGAGAATCCCATGGGCAGAGGAGCCTGGCAAGCTACAGTCCACAGGGTGGCAAAGAGTCAGACACAACTGAAGCGACTTAGCATGCACACACAGTATATAAAGCAGCATGTGCTGTACTGTGCTAAGTCACTTCAGTCATGTCTGACTTTTTGAGACCCTGTGGACTGTAGCCTTCAGGCTCCCCTGTCCATGGGGATTCTCCAGGCAAGAATACTGGATTGGGTTGCCATGTCCTCCTCAGGGGATCTTCCTGACCCAGGGATCGAACCCACAGCTCTTCTAGCTCCTGCTTTGAAGGAAGATTCTTTACCACTGAGCCACTAGGGAAGCCCATAAAGTAACACATTAATATATAACTTATAAATCATAAACAGGCATACATAAATTCTACTGTGGGCTCAGTCTTTTTTAATCTATAGAGCATTGCAATCAAAATGTTTAGTAACCATTGCTAAATAATGATTTTCCACATATATAAGGAGAATTTAAAGGTACTATAGAATAGTTTATTGGGGTATAGCAAGAAGCAGCAGCTATAAACTACGAATTTCTACACCTGATCTTAGCTAAAAGGCCAAGAAGCGATTAAACTACAAATTTATAAATAAAATACTGTTAATTCATTTGGTACAGCATTTAATACAATTCTAACTAAAGAGAGATTACTAATTAATAGAATTTTGAAGTTAGGAAAGAAATTATATGTCACCTATTTTAAGTCTCAAAAATGAGATCACTACAAGCTGGAGAGAATAATGTTCTCCATGTCATATGCCTGACTCATAGTGACAGAGCCAGGTACAGATCCCAAATTTCTAAACCCTTTGTCTTTCAACTATTCAACACATACACATAGATAGACAGAAAGACTGACAAATATTTAACAAAAGGGGAGGGTCTTTGAAATTAAGTAGCAGATAACCTAGTATTCTCTTTGTGACCCCATGGAGAGAAAGAGAATACTAGGTAATCTGCTACTTAATTTCAAAGACCCTTCCCTTTTGTTAAATATCTATCTATCTTTATGGCTTTCTCTCTATGTCCACGGTGGCTCAGAGGGTAAAGAATCTGCCTGCAAGCCAGGAGATCTGAGTTCAGTCCCTTGGTTAGGAAGATTCCCTGAAGAAGGAAATGGCAATTCACTCTAGTACTCTTACCTGGAGAATTCCATGGACAGAGGAGCCTGGCCGTCCACAGTCCATGGGGTCACAAAGAGTTGTAGACAACTGAGCAAATAACACACACACACACACAACCTAGCATTCTTACTACTTTATTTTCTTCTATTTAACCATATTTTTATTTTTGCCTTTTTTCCTAGCTTTCCAAAATCACATCCTGTTTTAGAAAAAGGAATAGTGAATTTTCTTTTTTATCATGTTAATTTTTTAAGCTACTGTATATCAGAAAAATTCAAACCTGAAGTTAATCCTGCTTTTGTCCATCTCTTCTATCCAAAACAGCCTCTGAACTCTAAATGCTTTTCTTTCTTATCAATAATCCTCTGCACAATCCAGCACAAGAAATATTGGCTCAACCCTCCCTGAAGGAAAGATGGGATGAAAAATGCTGAAGAGAAATTTAAAGTATTTATGGAGGTTATTCAAATGCGTTTTGAATAACTGTCTTATATCTGTGTTGTCCCTTCACATTTTGTAGCATTTAAGAAATCTGATTCTATCTCCTCACAGACATTGGGTCAACCACGGCTACCTTACCTAACAGTTTTGTCATATATTGGGAAACTGATAACCGTGTTGGGTTGAGAATAGTGAATGTCATACTGCATATAATCGCTTAGCAAAGTGTCCAGCATAAAGTTAGGCATACACTACCCAATTCTTTTTAAGTCAAACACTTGCACTCACATGAAGTGACACACCCGAGGCCTCATCTTTCCTATTAAGACAGGATACTGAGAAACACAGACTTTTCCTCTATGGAGACTTGGAGTTCAAGGCATTTAGGGAGTTGGCTAAATTCTTAAAAGGACTGGGAGGGATTAAAAAACAACAACAACAACAACAACAACGAAAGCAAGCCTCTGGAATGGCCAAGGTTTTAACCACACACCACACCAGAACAGCAGGCCCCTCCTCGTTCCTTTCCCTCCCAGGGGCAGAAGAAACTACATTTCCCAGTGGCCCTCAGGCAGCTTCCGGTGCAGCGCGCTGGCGCTACTTCCGGGCACATCTTTTACGTCAGTTCATGGGACCCGATTTGGGGCTGAGGCTGATTTCCTTAACATGGGTTCTTTCGTTTCACAGCCCCTTGAGCCGGTCAAGTTCGTTGCGCCTCCCGAGGCTTCCTCCACCGCTAAGCCCGCACAGGTCACTGCACCCGGAGCGCCAGCCTCTCCAGCGCAAGCCCCTCTATTTAATAACTGCTGGAGCTGTCGCGTGCTCTCCGGGTCGGGGCTGATAGGGGCAGGCGGGTATGTGTACTGGATGGCGCGGAAGCCCATGAAGCTGGGATATCCCCCGGGTCCTGGGACTATTGCGCAGATGATCTTCGGCATCAGTGAGAGTCTGGGCACCACCCTTGGGCTGGGGGAGAGGGAGATGGAGAAGAGGAGATGAGACACGTGGGGCGGGGGGTGGGGAAGCGAGGCACCCGGGTTGGTCATGTGGCGGCAGGCATGCCCTCCAGTAAGACGCAGGGCCGCGCGGGGCCGGGCGGGGTGGGGAGGGGCGGGAAGAAATATTTGTTGGGATACTTTTTTTGCTTTGTTTTTTCTTAAATAACACTATATAACACTTAATAACATATATATATATATATTTTTTTTTTTTTTTGAGAATTCTAGCCTCAATCTTTTTAATCCTATTGAGAGCTATTAGAAATAGGTATGAGCATAGTAGTCCCATTTTCCTGTTGAACAAACCCAGACAAAGAGAAGTAAATTTGTTTGCGGTCAGACATCCAGGATGTGACACACAGCCAGTCTTTGATCCCGGGTTTATGTGTCACCAAAACCCAAACTTCTTTTCTGGGTTGTGGAGAAAGCCTGAGTGAGGCCACCTGACTTTTGGCTTTGAGGGTAAACTGTAGACATGGGTTTAAAGCCCACATATGAGGTCTTCTGTGTATTGTGACCCCATAGTTATTATTTGTAAGGATACTAAGTGATGGTCAAGATGTCTTCTGGTAAAATGTAGTGATTCTTTTAGCTCTTTAGATCAATTGAGTGAATAGAATTTTAATTTTTCATATCTCTTATCTTCTTAACTAGATTGCTTAGATCAAGTACTTCTTTGCATAGGGAAAGTAACAGAATTTTTTTTCTCTCAACTTTCCTTTCCTGAGCTTCAGTCTTCTATAAGAAATCATCAAGGATTAGGGTTGACATATATGAAAGCACTTGGTACTTGCATAGCACATAAAGTACTGTTTTGTTTATTTTCCCCCTAGGCATTGCTTGCTGGGGTGTGGTCATCCTGTCAGACCCCAAAGGGAAGGCCTTCCGCACTGGATGAAAGTACCACCCATGAATTTGCCTTCTCTCCACGTCCCCACGACACACAGCAAGCATGGCAGTTACAGATGTTCTGGACAGAAACATTTACTTTGACAGACTTCAGTCCTGCATATACTACATGACTGAAAAGACAAACATGGATTGTCATTCATGGGCCGTGACTGATGGCCTTCTTTGCAGGTTCCACAGGGACCAATAAATCCCTGAGAGAAGAGAAGAGGTTCTGTGTCTTATTTGAGGAAGGACGGTATAATTGTAAACATATATATAGAGAGAGGAAGTGATAAACCAAATGGGAAAGTTAGCTAAAGTTATTTTCAATAGTTCTTTTTTTTATCATACTTCTCCTATAATTGGCTCAGCACCTACTATCCTGGATAGGTATCATATAATACACAGAAGTACATAAAAAATGTATTCGCATATTGCTCATACTTCCCAAAGCATTGTCAGATCCATGACCTTTTGAGAGTTTACCAGCTACTCTGAGGAGGTTATGTCATTGGTGAGTCCTGGTGATATGCCCAGGCTCATTCAGCGATGGGTGTTCAGACTTGTTCTTGTCTTTTAGAACTAGGATTGTTCCCAGGAAGCAAGAATTACGTTTATGAAACAATTGGATAAGCATAAAAATCATAAAATAAAAAGCTTAAGTACCAAAATACTTGTGAGAAATTCAAAATCTTTTGTAGTTTGTGTGTGTGTTTTGTTCTTTTCTCACAAGCACTGGAAAAGTTTCTGTGATGAAACTGAGTTGGTTTTGATATAAAGCCCGAAAATTAGATACTTTATGCCTGAGAGAAGTCTGCTTCCGACCAGGTTTTTAAATTTTTTTCTGCAATACTATAGTTTCTAAAGTTGTGTGTAGCTATTTTTTCAGAGCAGACAAATACTCTTTGACTCATCTGCCAATCACAATGTCTACATTTTGGATGGTAGGTTGAATAAGTAGATATATTTAGGGCTATTTTTTGATATTGTATATAAGTGTACAAGTCTGTTAAGCCTCAGAAATGACAATAAGTCTCTTGCATTGTCTACGCTAGAGTTCATGGCATGAGTGATTAATATATCTATCCAACTGAGAAGGTTTTTCAACATAAAATATTTAAGTGAAATATTAAATTCAGTTATCTGATGTTAGTGAATACAGAAGTTTTAAGTTAGAAGGGACCAGAGAGGACCCACAGCAGGGGACTTCCTTGAGGACCCATGACACAGGTGCATGCTCATTCACTAAACCATGTCTGACTGGCTGAAGCCCACCAGGCTTCTTTGTCCATGGGATTTCCCAGGCAACAATACTGGCTGCTGCTGCTGCTAAGTTGCTTCAGTCGTGTCTGACTGTGCGACCCCATAGACGGCAGACCACCAGGCTCCGCCATCCCTGTGATTCTCCAGGCAAGAACACTGGAGTGGGTTGCTATTTCCTTCTCCAGGGGATCTTCCCAACCCAGGGATTGAACCCACATTCTCCTGCACTAGCAGGCAGATTATTTACCACTGAGTCACCAGGGAAGTCCCCCATGACATATCCACTAAAATACCTATGAAGACAAGTTACTACCTGCTTTAAAAGGTAAGCCATTCTGTTGAAGGAAAGCTTCAGTTCTAACATTTTCTTGGTTTTAAAACCAAATTACAATTTGCTCATCTTGACTTGATTTCCTGGATATGTAGCATAACTCTTAAATGTATATATTATAATTTTAGCATGTTTCTGAGAATTCATACCAGTATGAAGCTTTAGCCAAATAAAAGCTTTTTCCAAATAAACTTTCCCAAAGTGTACTGCCAAATTATGTTTGGCAGACTGATTGCAAATTGAGAAAGGAGTATGTCAAGGCTATATGTTGGCACCCTGCTTATTTAACTTATATGCAGAGTACATCATGACAAACGCTGGGCTGGAAGAAGCACAAGCTGGAATCAAGATTGCCAGGAGAAATATCAATAACCTCAGATACACAGATGACATCACGCTTAGGGCAGAAACTGAAGAACTAAAGAGCCTCTTGATGAAAGTGAAAGAGGAGAGTGAAAAAGTTGACTTAAAACTCAACATTCAGAAAATTAAGATCATGGCATCTGGTCCCATCACTTTATGGCAAATAGATGGGGAAACAATGGAAACAGTGACAGACTTTATTTCTGGGGGCTCAAATATCACTGCAGATGGTGACTGCTGCCATGAAATTGAAAGATGCTCCTTGGAAGAAAAGCTGTGATCAACCTAGATGGCATATGAAAAAGCAGAGACATTACTTTGCCAACAAAGGTCCATCTAGTCAAAGCTATGTTTTTTCCAGTAGTCATGTATGGATGTGAAAGCTGGACTATAAAGAAAGCTGAGCACCAAAGAATTGATGCTTTTGAACTGTGGTGTTGGAGAAGACTCTTGAGAGTCACTTGGACTGTAAGGAGATCCAACCAATCAATTCTAAAGGAAATCAGTCCTGAATATTCATTGGAAGGACTGATGCTGAAGCTGAAACTCCAATACTTTGGCTGGCTGATGCAAAGAACCAACTCATTGGAAAAGAGCCTGATGCGGGGAAAGACTGAAGGCAGGAGGAGAAGGGGACGCAGAGGATGGGATGGCTGGACGGCGTCACTGACTCGATGGACATGGGTGTGAGCAAGCTCCGGGTGCTGGTGATGGACAGGGAGGCCTGGAGCGCTGCAGCCCGTGGGGTTGCAAAGTCGGACATGACTGAGCAACTGAACTGAACTTGGACTCACTTAACTAGGTGTGAGCAAGGTACTGCTCTTCCATGTCTAAAGGCAGTTAGGGATAATCTCCCTCCATCCCCTCCCCAAGATAGGTTAGTTAGAATTTGTAGTTAAAATTGTTTCATTTTGTTTTTCTTTTGAAGTATTCTGAAATTTGGTTTCTTTTCTGTCAGTGCTAAGTTAGAGGCCATGGTTTGCTTTAGGGATGAATCTTCCGAGAGAAAAGAGACATTGCCTTAGTTCTTCAAAGTAGGAAGTGCATTTGGTGTTCCTGTATCACCTTCTCTTTCCTCGGGGGTCAAGTGCATTTAGTGCCCCTATATTGTCTTCTCTTTCCTTGGGTGAGCAGGACAGAGAGTCAAGAATCAGAGGATCCCTGATTGACTCAGCAGTGAAGAATCTGCCTACCAATGCAGGAGACATGGGTTCAATCCCTGGATTGGGAAGATCCCTTGGAGAAGGAAATGGCAACCCAATCCAGTATTCTTGCCTGGGAAATCCCATGGACAGAGGGGCCTGGCAGGCGACAGTCCATTGGGTTGTGAAGAGTGGACATAACTTAGCAAGTAAACAATAACAGCAATTTAAGAACACCAGCTTAATTATGATGGGCTTTAGAATCTTTGCAGCATGGAAATGAGAGTTTATAACTACCTTTCACAAAGAGAGGGAAAAAGTACAAAAACAGGCAATTTAAAAATACACTTAGAATTTTCCCTTGGGACACAGATCAAAACGTGTCAACACTGACATTTTTCATGGTATCTAAAATACCTATTAGAACAAACTTTACATGGTGTAAACTTTGATATCTCCAGATGATCAAGAAATGACTATACCATCTCTTATTTCCTTTGTGTACTGCACTGACCAGAAACCAGTGAACAGCTAATAACATGCCTGAATGTATTAAAGGACATGAATATAGACTGATCCTTAGGATCTTGTGTATTGAGGGGAGAAGTAGGGGTCTCTTTTCTTCCTAGGTCAATTAATGGACAGCTGTTCCTTGCAGCACTGCTGTATGCCAAATGCAGATGAACCTAAAAAGTTCTGGAGTTTCACCTGACAGAAGCCATTGCAGAGACAGCTGTTGCTGGCAGCCTTAGAGGTTAAGCCTTTCAGCTGTGATTTGTGCTTCACTCCCACCCTCAACTAGCATTTGCCCCTTGCTCCTTTTTTATTACTCATTTCTCAGTCTGACTGTGTCTGAATTAGAGGCCTCTTGAATGATGCCACTTGATTTGACAGCATGAAATATATTGCTCCAAAATTAAATATATGTTCAGGGCAAGCTTATGTTCAAGAACCCCCTCAAACCAGGCTTGGCCTCAACTGATTTATTGCCAGGACATTGATGAAACCAACACTTCTCAAATGTTGAAGTGAGGAATAGTAAGCAACTATGAGTTGAAAGCTCCTTTTTTTTTTCTTTCCTTTAAATGACAGATAAATTCTTTCCTTGACCCAATGATTATTTAGGTATCAGGGGCAAAGAGAGGTGAGAGACCTATTATTACACATCATTCAGAGGTATCCTAAGAGCATAGGGGAAAAAAAATTTGTCACTCTTCTAAACGCCTGTCTCTTGGCCTTTGAGCTATTCAACAACTTGTCCTTCAAATGTAAATGTAGGGAAATGGCCAGAAGGGCCAGTGTTAAATGCAACAATGCCACTAAAAACACTGCTCAGTCCTGTGACTGAATTTGCAGGGGCTTCAGGAGTGTGGTGACAGAATTCTTCAGATGGACCCCCCCAACGCTCCCAACCCCTGGGTATATATACACCTTCTAGTTATTCAAACATCGTTCTAGGTATGGCTGTGAAGGAAATTTGCAGATGTAATTAAGGTTCCAGATCAATTTGATTCGAAGATAAGAAGATTATCCAGATGGGCTAAATCAATTGAGCCCATTATATCTTGGTCCAGAGGTCAGAGACCTGAGAAAACAGAGATTAAAAGCAGGAGGGGGAGTCAAGGCAGGAGAAGTGAGTTGAAGGCTGGAAGAAAACAAACATCCATAGTGAGAATTTCCTGTGGAGGTCTTGTGACTAGGAATGACTAACAACTCAAAGAGAAATGAAGCCCTCCCTCACTTCTGCAACTGGAAGGCAACCTGCCAACCACCTATGAGCTTAGAAGAGGGCCCTGTGAGAATGAAGAACTGCAACCCCAGCCAAATCTTGGTTTCAGCCCAGTGAGACCCCAAGCACTGTATCTAGTTATGCTGTGAAATGAGATAACAAATTTGATTTAAATTGTC